TTAGGAGTATTGTGATGAAATGATACATACTTAACCTTTGGCTTTTTATACCTTTTTGGAGCAGAAAAGTCGGAGATAGCATTACACCCAGTCGTTTAATTGCCTTTAAAATATGTTTTGTGCAGAACAGATTATTTGTGTGGGTTTCTGTTGATGCTAAACTCTGGAGCAGAGCCAAGGGACATCCTGACTTCTACAGTAAATGAAGATTGTCATTTCCCTTCCTATCCTGACAGGTTATTTGTACATGATGGCTTGAAAATAACTCCATTTTCAGTGGGTCTTGCTCTGTCATCTTTAGTCACACGAATGAACGTTCAACTGCCATCCTAAGCCTATTACATTTTGGTAAAACAACAACCCAAAAGAACAACAAAACTCGAGTAAATCTATAATTACATAATTCCTTTGGAGAGTTCTCCGTATTTCACTTTATCATAGTAAGTGTTCATAGTTTAACCTTCTGCATCTCTCCATTCCATCCTCTCAGAGTGATTTCCTTCAGAAATCACTAGCAGTCTTTCAAAGTCTAGATTTTTGTTAACATCCTACAAAATTTCTTTCCTGATTAAAGTGAAAATTGTCTCATTCCTTTGCCGCTGGTTACAGCAATTTTATGCTAGTCATGCTTATCTCTCAAATTTTACTGTAAACTAATTCCTTTAGTGAATGGATTTTTACAAAGAATGTGATAAAGGTATATTGATTGGTACAAGTCAATCAGTAGACATTGAATAAGCAGTGACTGCCTTGAAGGCATTGTGCTTGGTTGGGATTATACATTGGTAAGAATACAGAAATAAGACAGTACCTTGTTCCCTATAACTTACAGTTTAATATGAGAGCTATTTCCAGTAATTTCTTTGTCCTCGTTAAGTCCCAGAGGGGGTGGTGCATAGCATCCCGGGTAGATGCCACACACACAGGGAGGATGTGTTATGCCTGATGAACCTCAAGCTTAGGAAATATGAACTCTCATAAGGGGTCTGTTAGCAAACGTATTCAACCTTTGTCTAGAGGGAGACATTACTTTTATTATCCTGGTCAGGAAACTAGTCTTTCATTTGACCTGGAGGGAGATTTTATCTCTATCTTTAAGCCTGTTTGAACAGATAATCTGGAATAAAAGATGTCAAAAGATGTGTAGAAATTCTGTAGGAAATTGCTTCCTAAACAGTGTATTGAAATAGTCCTAGAAATAAATAATCATTATGGGGGCGCCTAGGTGGCTCATTTGGTTAAGCGTCTGACCAGCGCAGGTCATGATCTCATGGTTCATGTGTTTGAACCCTGTGTCTGGCTCTGCGCTGACAGATCAGAGCCTGGAGCCTGCTTCAGAGTCTTTGTGTGTCTCTCTCTCTGACCTTCCCCTGCTCACACTCTCTCTCCCTGCTCTCAAAAAGAAATAAAACATTTTAAAAAGTAATAAATAAATAAATAAATAAATTATTATTATGAAGCAGTCATTTAGAGGAATACAGGATATAATGGGTTTAGATTGTTTTACTAGTTTGGATACTATTTCAACTTTGAAAATCTGAACTTCGTATATTTAAAGAATTGGTTAATTTATCTCATATTTGAAATTGTGAAAATACAGTGTAAAGAAGTCATCATTTTACATACTGAAAAATGGATAAGAAGGATATTTTAAGAAGAATAACCCTGCATCTCCTAAGTGTGTTAATAATATAAAACATTATAAAAATATTTATGATTTATTGATGCTGATAACTGAATTAGTCATGAAAATCTTTCCAACGACAGATGATCCTAAAATAAATTTCTATTTACACTTAGTTACATATGTAGTATATATGATGAATACTGTTTATGCATTCCATATATATATGTATACGTATGCACATGTTCTAATGTATCATTTTGAATAGTTTACCCCTCCACAGTGAAGTCGTAATTCCAAAACCAAATTGAATCTCAAGTGAAAATGAGTCTTAGAAATCATCTAAAAGAAATCTCACCCCAGGTGCAAAAATGGTTTCCAAAATAATGGATCAGTAAAGTTTTCAAATCTTCAGCTTCACTTAAGATGTTTACCCTATAATGATATTAGTTACTCTGTTGAAGCTGATGCAAGGGCCCATCTGAACCTGACATTGATGTATTTATGTGATGTCTTTCCTGATTCATGTTAGATTCACTGATGGATCCACCGCTTCCGTCAAACATAGATTCTAGGATTTCATGTGTTGTGCCTTTGCCTTTTTAGTTGGTTTTCTTTTACATTCCTGCCTTTTTCCTTTGTCTTTTTTCTGTGTTGCAAATTAAATGAAAATATGTGATTTGTTTTAAGTTTATATGCCACATTATGAAAGCAGAACGCCTGATGTTGAGTACTGTTGGTAAGAAACTTGGTTGGGGATCTGTTACACTAATAAGAATATCAAAGTAAGATGTTATACCTGTAATTCAAACCATAGGGTTCTTGCTTCTATGATAGTACATGTAGCATGTAAAAATCATCGTGATAAAATGCCATTGTCACTACTTTTATAAATTCCCAATATTATTCATGTATCAGGGACTGGATTTTGCTACATAATGTGTGATAAGCCTCTTCTACTTCAAGCAAATACGTGCCTCACCTGTCACTTTGATGGGACACAGCTTTAAAAAAAATTAAATCTTGACCATATTTGAGATTCAGATATGAATAGAATAGAATAGAATAGAATAGAATAGAATAGAATATATATTATAATATATCAGTTTTCAAAGACTAAAATGACTTCAGGGGTCAATTAGGTAAAAAGAAAAGTCTGATGTAAATCAGAGAGTGCCTGGCCCATTTAAAGAAACTTGAAACTTGATTTTTATGTGAAAGCTCTCATTTGTAAATGTTGGCCACTAGTTAAAAAATAATTAAACAGTGTACTCACTAAATTAAAAAAAATACCTCCAATCAACAACATCTAATATTTAGTTTGAATACCAGAGTGGTTTCTTTTTTAAAAATTTTTTAAATTATTTTTTTTAATTTCTGAGAGAGAGAGATACAGCGTGAGCAAGGGAGGGCCAGTGAGAGAGAGGGAGGTACAGAATCTGAAGCAGGCTCCAGGCTCTGAGCTGGCTGTCAGCATAGAGCCTGAACGGGACTCAAACCCATGAGCTGTGAGATCATGACCTGAGCCGAAGTTGGATGCCCAACCGACTGAGCCACCTAGACTCCCCAAGCAGAGTAGTTTCTTAGGCTAGCAGAGCACAGCATAGGATGGTGGTAATTGGAGGGAGGGGAGAAATCAGGGAGAGAAAGGGACAAATTGCCGTAGATAGGAACAGTCTGGCTGACTGGCACAGGCCTAAATTATACTCTAATGACAGTAAACATTGACCGTGAGTTGTAGGAAGATATCCCTGAAGCCTTTCTCTGGGGACTCTTGTGCACCCTGAGGAAGAACAGGTTATTTGTAGAAATATTAATATCTTGAGAGGCCCAGGCTACTCTACTGGAATGTTTCTACTCCTTCACCAGAATATTAACTTGAGAACAGAAACTGATTGCCTAAAAAAGAAGAGAACCAAAGAAATACTGATGTAGCCTGGCTCAAAGTGCCATGGAAGTAGGAAAAAAAAGAACTTCTTAGCAATTCTGTACCCCAGTACATGTGGATCTAAGGAGAAAACCTTTGAAGCCAATCAAGAAAAAATTACAGGGTGTTCTCATGAGAGCCAGCATCTCCCAAAACAAAATCTACTATCACCTGACCGGCAGAAACCAGGAGATGACACATTAGCTCACACTAGTTGAGGTTTTTCAGGCTGGAAGGAGTGGGTGATGGATCCAGCAGATGTGGGGATGAACTGTTAATTGGGGCGCTTAAGGTCTTGAGGCACAGAAGACATTTGGGAACTTACCACTTGCTACACTTATTCAGAGGGATCACATTTGAGTTCCAGACCATAGATCTAATGCGTTGTGGAGCTGGACAGAGAAATACACTTTGTTTTTAAAAAGAACTCCCTGGGGCACCTGCGTGGCTCAGGTTGTGATCTCACAGTCCGTGAGTTTAAGCCCCTCATCAGGCCTCTGTGCTGACAGCTCAGAGTCTGGAGCCTGCCTTGGATTCTGTGTCTCCTCATTTTGCCGCTCCTCAACTCATACTATGTCCCCCCCACAAAAGGTAAATAAACATTAAAAGACTTTTTTTAAGGAGCTCCTGAAATAATACTATATCTTCGATAAAGTTGTGGTAAGGATTAAATTAAATATTGAATCTGAGGTGTTTAGTACAAAAATCAGAAAGCTGGGAATGCAGTGAAGATATGAGGATTTTGCTGGTGGAATATGAACACATTGCCCTTCCAGAGAACAGTGCGGCACTATGTTAAAAGATTAAATACATGTTTGCCAAAGACCCAGCAATTCCAGTTCTGGCTCGTATATACCAATCCTGCTCTGTTGGTTATACATACCAATGATACTCTTTAACAGATCTCAGAGGGACAGGTACAAAGATGTGCCATGTCTGATGTGCTAGAGATTTGGAGGCAGTCGGGGTGTCCATCCAGGACATAGGAGTCATGCATCCTTTCATCCCGTCACTTAGCAAGCATTACCAAGTGCCCATTCACCAAGCTCTGGGCTAAGTGGTAAAAATGCAAAGGGAACTCAAGGTGGTGCCTGACCAGGAGGAACAGCCAGTCAGGTTCAGAGGAGAGACTGGATTGCAGAATTCAGGGCAGGTTAAGTACAGAGCAGCGCTGCTCAAAGTGTGGGCGGCTTCTAAAGGGCTGAGACTTGAAGGAGCCTTCGGAAAGACTTGTTTTAAAAAACTTAAGTTTTAGCCTGTAATAGCAGCTCAAATGGACGTGCCTTCATTATACAAATAATGATGTAAAGAAGATAAAATCTTAATTTATCTTTTGAGGAGATAGAACAAAATGAATATATATTGGAAATCCAGAAAAAATGAAATGGTTTTTCAGTGTGGTTTATTTTTGTATGCATTTGCATAATAGTACATTGTCTTTTATTTCAGATACACTGGCCTAGCACAGCACTAAAAATAGAAGAATGCATAATGAAAGGGAAAGACGCAGTAAGTATTACTCATTGTAAATTAAACACATCATCAATTATATCCCTGGTCAGTCACAAGGGACTGACTCCTTAACCTTTTATTTGCTCCCAAAAGGCAAATATACAGTTTAGTCAGGAAGAAAATAAAATATATGTACATGAAACCATATATACATAAACATTTAGAGATAGTTATTTACAAGTTAATTTCAATGAAGGGTTAGGTATAAAGGGAGTTGAAGTTCCTCCAGATCTTGGTTTTTGTTTTATTATATTTTTATCCACTCAGATTTGTGACTTTCTTATACTAATGCTTATTTCCTACATATTTGGGGAAAAATAATTTCAGGTCAATTTTTAATTCAAGGGAAAACTAACCACATTCTTTGTGAGGTTTCATTTTGCTTTGATGAGTCCATTAGAACTTACCCAAGAAATAAAAGGGGAGAAAATGAAAAGAAAGGGGAAGGCAAAGGCAGTAGGCATGCTTTACCTATTCCATGATGTGCCTACGATCTCTTCTACTGGAAGAGTCAGTGTTGCGTCTCTCTGTAACTTCCCTGCAGTGTGTGAGCTTGTGTAGGAACAGTGGCCCCAACCCAGTTCTGAGCACACTAAAACGTGTACGATGGGGCTTCCGTGTGCCGCAAATAGCTACCTGATAACATAGTACATGTGCTTGGAGGAAGGCATGCACATCTCCTTTTGAGTTAACTTACCCTTTTCATTTTCTCTTCTTTTAGTGAGAAAAAAAAAAAAAAACATGGAAAAGGCTAACACACATTATACCAACTCCTGAGTCTCTGTAGCAACTGGGTCACAGCCAAGGAGTGAGTCAAGACATTCTTGCTGCCTTAGTTTGCAGCATGATGCTGACTAATTGAACACACTCTTAGGCTATGTCAGTCTAAGCCCAGCAGAGCCAAAATGTTGTATAATTACCTCATTCAAAGTGTGACAGTGTTTGATGACATGAAAAGCAGGTGCTTCTAGTGATAGGAGACTAGAATGTTTTCCCCATGCCTGAATGATTAGATTTTTCCAATGATATGGATCATTCTCAGAATAAAATGTATGAGTGGGAAATTGAAGAAATTATATCTACAAGCTCTGGATAATCAGGATAGTAGTACATTCCTCATTCTTACCAAGGGAATGCCATAATCTGAATCATTTATGGTAAGATGGTTCGCTTTTTCATTCAATACTGTTAAATGAGAGACTTTAAAAGTCACATACACTGTTTTTATAAAACATTACATTCCTGACTATTGCATGTATTGATACTAAAGTAATATTTAGCATTAAAATAGTATTTTGTAACATTTTAAATGAAATAGCAGTACCAGGGGCGCCTGGGTGGCTCAGAAGTTTGAGCGTCCAACTTCGGCTCAGGTCATGAACTCACGGTTCATGAATTCTAGCCCCATTTCGAGTTCTGTGCTGACAGCTCAGAGCCTGGAACCTGCTTCAGATTCTGTATCTCCATCTCTCTTTGTCCTTCGTCTCTCTCTCTCAAAAATAAATAAACATTAAATTTTTTAATGAAATAGCAGTACCTACTTTACCAAGAAGATGTTTGATGGAATTAATTTGGACAAGTTGGTTTGAGCAATTTTAAACTTTTTTTCATTCAGCATATTGATCATAAAACTCACCTAGTGATTTATGTCGTAAAATTTGTTAAGCGTACACAATATATTTGGTACTGTGTTTGATTAAGCAGGGAATACAAAGATGTGTAAAATAAATATTCTGTCCTCAAAAAATTTAGAGTTGAATCCCACTGTAGGCAAACTAGAGCTTCTTGGCCAAATACAGCCCGCCATCTATTTTTGTAAATAAAGTTTCCTTGGAACCCAGCTGCACACAGTCATTTTTGTATTGTCTCTGGCTGCTTTCATGCTCTATCTACAGAGGGAAGTAGTTGGAACAGAGATCAGTCGGGCATTCAACTAAATGTATTTATTCCCTGGTCCATTATAAAACAAAAGTTTCCTGATTCCTGGACAACAATCTTATAGTAATAGGTATAAAATAAGTATTTCTCTTGGTTAGCTTTCTAGATATTTATTTGAAAGCTGTCTATGAAGGTGCTTTAGTGAATTTATGAGTTTTAAGACATGACTTATCTTCCCAAACCTTAAAAAACTCTGTAATGCCTTAAAGTTCGCATATGTTTCCTTGAGGGTAATGAAGTTTTTTCTAATTACTGGTTTTCTGACTTGGTGCTGATCCATTGTTTACATGTACTTTAAAAAAATAACAGCATTGGGAATAACTTAATTACTCAGTGGAACATATTGCCACGCAAGTCTTTATGTTTGAATACATTTCTGAGCAGCGTTTTTTTATTCTTTGGGTATATGCTACAATACCTGAAAAGTGACACAATCCCATTGTAAGTGTAATTCACACAACGTGGTAAACTACAGCGTGCATTGGTCACCTCAAGGATTGTTCCTTGTCCTCTGTCATCTGTCCCACGTGCCCCCGCTAACTGAGGGAGACTTAAACATGAGATTTGTAGGCTTAGGAAATACAGAAATCAAAAAGGGCTAAACATTTTTTAATATTAACCAGTATCCTCCTTTTTATTTTTTTTCTGCGATAGAGTGAATGTGCAAATTATGTTCGGGTTTTGCATCACTATAATCGGACACACCTTCTGACCTGTGGTACGGGAGCTTTTGACCCGCTTTGTGCCTTCATCAGGGTTGGATACCATTTGGAGGTAAGATAATTTCACTCATATCAATAAAAGTCATGCTTAAAAGAACTTTATTTTAAAAGAATGGTAGTGACTGGGGCACCTGGGTGGCTTAGTCAGTTAAGCGCCCAACTGGGTTTGAAAGCTCAGGTCATGATCTATGGGTCCCTGAGATACAGCCCTGCATTGAGCTCCACGCTGAGCATGGAACGTGCTTGGGATTGTCTCTCTCTCTCTCTGTGTCTGTCTCTTCCCTGCTTATGTTCTAAAAAAATGATTGAATGAATGAATGAATGATTGAATAAAGAATAAAAGAAAAAAGATGGTGGCATTTTCTTTGGTGAAAGAGAAAAGCATTTGCAACGTGCTGGTAAAATTTTCCTAAGTCAGAGAAATGATCTCTCTGGCCCTTTAAAATCCTCATCAGCTATAAAATCTGTGAATCAATTAATTCTTTATGTATTCATTCCCTGAACAACTTCATTTACTTAATTGTACACTTAAAAGTATTTCTTCATATCAAACTGTGTTCTCTGTTGTGTTCTTACATAAATTTTATTAATGTAACTGCCAAACCAGAATGCGTCTATGAATGTCTGTAAAAATAAATGTATATAAGCAAAATTACTACATGTAGTATTTTATAAAGGATATGCAAAGGCTTGTTGATTTTGTAATTCCTCTTATTTTTAGGCAGGTGAAGTGAAGGAGGTGGACTTGGGAGTGGTGTGGGAGATTACAAACTGAAGCTAATTATTAGAGGGTGAGAGCTGTATGCCCCCAGACCCCACTACCAGGTGGTCAGTATAAAGAAAACAAGTCTCAGGTGCATTCTGTCACACATATAATATTGACCAACGAGCTGGCTTGAAGATCAGTCATATAACCTGTTTCAACATGTCAGAAGAACTCTCAACTCTCCCTTATTTTAGACACATTTTCAAGCACTTTTCATCACACTTTCACTCTGAAATATATTAAACAGTATACTGTCTGATGTCAGAATCTGCTACTGTTTTTTAGATCAGAAGGCAGAACCCTACACGAAGAAGGGATATAGGTAAAACAGACATCTAGATATTCTGTGGTGAAGCAGCTAGTCTCTTGATTCTCATACTGTATGAAAGGGCAGTGGTGACCCTAAAATATTTTCAGTCACCACATATAAAGAATAGCATTCATTTCACTAGTGAAAAATTATTTCTGATATTTCTTATACTAGTTAACACTCAGGTGTACATATAATTAGCAATATCTGAAGTGCTTACTTTAGTTGCCTTTTGAGAGAGCCCCTGATTGAGATACTTCAGCTGGTAAGTGTGCTTATAGGCAGGATTTTTGATTAGTCTGCTTTAAATGGTAACAAACCACCTCTACTTGTAGATTAAAGCTAAGTAGCATACACAAACACACTGAGTGTATTCACTGAATTATTTTAAGGAAACAATACAACTGATCTCTTTAAAAGGAGATATGTAAGGCAAACCTCCCCCCCCCCATGCAAAGTCAGAATATTTACATGTATACACAGTATATAGACAGGGGCACCTGGGTGGGTCAGCAGGTTCAACTCTGCCTTTCAGCATAGAGCTTGTTTTGGATCCTCTGTCTCCCTCTCTCTCTGCCCCTCCCCTGCTTGTTCCCTCTCTCTCTTCCTCTCTCTCCCCCTCAAAAATAAATAAACATTTAAAAAAGTATACTGACAGACATGTATGCATATACACAAAGCCAGACTATATACTTTTTGTGCTGCAGATCTATTGGCAACAGATGCTCTCAGTTTTCATTATCTGAAAATACCTTGATTTCATTTTTATTTCTGAAGGGAATTTCCCTGGATATAGAATTGTGGCTTCACAGGGGTTTGTGTTTTGTTTTTTTTCTTTTAGCATTTCAAAAATACTTTATTGTCTTCTGATCTCTTTCCGATGTAAATTCAGGTTTCCTTCTATTGATATTACCCTGTTTGCAATTGCTTTATCTCTGAAGATTTTGTCTTCCTTTTTGGTCTTCACCAGTTTTTCCATAATGTGCCTGTTTGTGTGTGGGGTGGTGGGGAGTGGTGGTGGTGGTGGTAGGAGATTCATATTTCCATTTCTTGAAATACTGAGATTTTTGGATACAAAAGCTTCTGTTTTGCATCTAATTTGGCACATTTTTGGCCATTAAATTCCAAATAATATTACTGTTGTGCCCTCCTCTTCTTCAGGGTTGTGTGTGTGTGTGCGCACGTGCGCGCGCGCGTGTGTGTGCGTGTGTATGGCATTGTGCGTGTGTATGTGCCACAAATGACTGAAATTCTGCTCATTTTTTATTGTCTTTGTTTTCTCTCCTTTGCAAACTGGGTGAATTCTTTTATTTTCAAGTTTAGCATCCCTTTCTTCTGACATCTCCAGTATGCTGTTAAGCTCCCCTCATTAGTGGTCAATTCAGATATTGTACTTTCTAGTTCTAAAACTTTCATTTTGCTTATATTTCCTTTCTTTAATGAGCATTTCCCCATATTTTTATTCATCATGACTATCTTTTTATGTAAGCTTTCAAACATACTTTTAACAGCTGTTTTAAAATTCCTGTATGCTAATTTTAACATCTGGGTCAACTAAAGGTAAGTTTGCATTGATTGATTTTTTTTCTCTTAACTGTAGATCATATTTTCTTGTTTCTTTGCCTGTCTAGTAATTTTTATTGTGTACCAGACATTATAGATCATATGTTTTCAAGATTGTGGATTTGATTATCTTTTAAAGAGAGTTGATTTTTATTCTTCAAGCAGCTGACTTGCCTGGACTCAAGCTTGAAATTCTCTTGTGATGGGCAGCAGCCCAACACCTCTTTCTACTTTCCAGACGGTGCTTTTTATGCTCTGCTTGCATGTGCAGTCAGGTGTCCACCAAGGCTTCGGGAAGGAGTGTAGACATGGATTCAGGGTACTTCCCTCAGGTTTTGGATATCTCCTCTTACATTTCAGCTGGCCTGGTACTTTCAATCTCAAATTTTTTACTCTCTAACCTAGTAAGTCTGTAGCTTTCTGCTTGAGTTCTAGCCATTCCTCACCACATAGATTAGGGTATTTCCTTGAGTGAAAAATCTTTCTTGTCTTTGCTCTTAACTATCTTTATTTCCTTAAGGTAATGTGTTTAAAAAAATTAGTAGCTTGTCATCATTATCTGTGTGAGAGTCTAGACAAGCTGATTGTCATTAGCAGAGGTGGAACTCCATTGTAAGTCACCTACATACACATGATATTGAACATTTTTTCTTGTGTAATTATCTAAGTAACAATATGATTGAAAACACGTTTTGAAAAAATTCTGTGTATGTCATAAGAGGAGCTTGTGGAATATGATAATAAGAATAGTGAGAGATTGATCCCCCAAACTCCATTTGGATGCTTGATAACATTTCATACAAGAGAATGAAAAATTACAAATTATATAGGCAAGGAAAATACTTTGTTTTAAAAGCACAGAGTCAGCCACAGATGGGATAGGTTTGCAGACATTAGTGGAATTGGTTGGGGTATATCAGGAGATAAGGCTGGGGCAGTTTGGCAGAGGATTTTTATGCTAGACGGTGACATTTTGTAGTTACTTCTAAAGACAGCATAGAGACTGAACGACATGACTTTAGTAATATTTAGGATTGATTTGAGATGAAAGACAGAGAGGAATTAAAGAAGACTATTACAAGAGTCTGCAAGATCATAAATATATTTAACAGCGGGGTCACAATAACAAAGAAAAGGAAGTGTGGAACCAATGTGAGAACCTGGTCAGAGGTTCTATAACAGGTTCTATAACAACATTCTGTTGGATGTCGATGATTAAAGTAAATTAAAACACATTTCCAATTTTATTTCTTGATGACTGAGAAGAAAAACTAAAGATTAGAGCTAAGGAAGCAGAGTAGGTTTTGATGAAAACATTTAAAAAGTAATCCGTACTTCTTGGTTGTAACTTTTTCAGTTCTGTGTAGTTATTTGAAAAATTGATCTGTGTGCTAGGAGAGGGTGTTATCAGAATAAGTTGAATTATTTAAGCCTAGGTAGTGAATTGTCCCTAAATGAGTCTCCCCTCTCTTTCTCCTTCTCCCCCACCACCCCTCCATCTTACTACTTCTCTCTCTCTCCCTCTCGATTGATCCAGGTACTTGGAAAATTCCATTATTTTAGGTGACAGTGAATCTCTAGGGAGTATCAGTGTAAACAGAGATTGAGCAGACAGAGTAGTATAAGGCACATCAGGTAGTACAAAATTTATAATCACACTTGAAAGGGGAAAATTATTATAATTTATTTATAAATATAATAAAATAGATTTCATTTATTAAAAATAATATATTTTATTATCAATAGTATAATATATTTATGCATATTAGAAATATCATAAAATTATTATAAAATGATAGCATCATCAATTCTACAGAGAGGACAGCTTTGCTAAAGGGATGAATAATTAGAATATTGGAGATTAAGAAGTGACTCAATAGTGACAAAGTAAAGATAGTAATATTGCCTATTTAATCCAGAAATAGAGTTTTTAAGGGAAAAATACAAGAAGTGTAGAAGCGTCAAAAGGAGTTTTTTCTTAGGATAGCAGATAGAGAAAAATCAGTTATGCAATGCAGTAAGAGGAAATGGCCACTTCTTGCAGATGAGGCGAGCCAGGTGGGAAGTAAGTTTGCTGAGGGAAGGAGTGAGATATTTAATAGAGAGATCTCATCAACAGTTGGCTATAAGGGGATATCAGGAGAGAGAGATCTATGGTAGAAATAGGGATTTGAGACTCAATAGTATGTGTATATGTGGATGTGTGCATGCATGTGTGTATGAAAGCTGAGATCTTTAGGCATGATATCATTGCCTAAGAAGAGAATGTGAGTAAAAAGGGAAAATAGCTAAATACAGAGCCTGGAAACACCAGTGCCTGAAAGTCTGATGGAGGAGGAAAAACCCACAAAGAAGAAAAAGGGGTGGGCAGCCCATTTAGAAGGGAAATCAGAGAGTGAGCTAGCACAGAAAT